AGTCGAACTATTTATTCAACGGCAATTCAAGGTAATAAGTTTATCAGTTTTTCACTTAATCGATTAACTCGTAAGATAGTTTCGTCCACTACAAATAAACAAGTATACTTCTGACGCTGTCGTTATTAATAAAACCACCGACAGAAAAATGTTTGCTTCTAGTCTAGACTAAAAGTTATTTAATAGTTATCATTCAAAGTACATTCTATGTTATTATATTGCAAATGCGGAGTTTTTCTTTTGCAGGGAGGTTAAACTTTCGCTTCTACAATAGTAACAAAGAAGTAACAAAAATGCCGTACTATTTAAGTATAAATAGGGAGTTTGGAAATTTTATTTGTTTGTAGAAGGTGTTTCGAAGTAATAAAGTTATCTGATACTGCATCTGCAGATTTAATAGTAGCAAAATGTAATTTATTTTAAATGGAGATTTGCGAGTAGAATTAGATTCATTGTCTACAGAGATACTGTATAAATACATAAATAAATAAATATATATATACATATATATAAATAATATATAATAATAATAATAAAAATTATATATATATTATATATTATTATAGTATATAATATATATATACATATACATACATATGTATATATATTTATATTTTTTATGTATATACATACATACTGCATAAATAATAAAGTACCATCGTTACTAGTCTGTTTGCAGAAGTTGAATCGAGTCGAATCAAATCAAATAATTATCGGTTCTGGAGTAATTGAAAATAATAACTCTATTAAATTGACATTATTAGATTCATACGTCCGAGTTTGTCGACTATAAACAAACAAGTAGGCCCATGATTGAATCACTTGCGTAACGTGGCAAAAGTTATCGAAGAAATTTATTATTAGAGAACCGACGAATGCGGGACCGGCGGGTCATCCGCATACCGGGAATTCTTGGAAATGATTGTACGTACGCTCCAGATCTGTTTCGCTTTCAATTTTATGCTGGAATATACAGTGGGCCACAAAATCGTTCGTACACCATTTAAAACGCAATAACTATATTAAAACTGAACTAAACGACTAGAATTTTTTTTAGACGATAGGGGGACTAGTCTAGTAGACGGTGACTGAAATAATTTTTTTTTTAATTTTGCTATTACTTGGAATCAATTACTTCTATCACCTAAAAAGATTCAAGTTATTTAGTTCAGTTTTAAAATAGTTATTGCGTTTTAAAAGGCTGTCTCTTATACACATCTAGATGTGTATAAGAGACAGAGGTACAGTGGCCCACAAAAGTGTTCGTACACCGTTTAAAACGCAATAACTATTTTAAAACTGAACTAAATAACTTGAATCCTGTCTCTTATACACATCTAGATGTGTATAAGAGACAGAGGTACAGTGGCCCACAAAAGTGTTCGTACACCGTTTAAAACGCAATAACTATTTTAAAACTGAACTAAATAACTTGAATCCTGTCTCTTATACACATCTAGATGTGTATAAGAGACAGAGGTACAGTGGCCCACAAAAGTGTTCGTACACCGTTTAAAACGCAATAACTATTTTAAAACTGAACTAAATAACTTGAATCCTGTCTCTTATACACATCTAGATGTGTATAAGAGACAGAGGTACAGTGGCCCACAAAAGTGTTCGTACACCGTTTAAAACGCAATAACTATTTTAAAACTGAACTAAATAACTTGAATCCTGTCTCTTATACACATCTAGATGTGTATAAGAGACAGAGGTACAGTGGCCCACAAAAGTGTTCGTACACCGTTTAAAACGCAATAACTATTTTAAAACTGAACTAAATAACTTGAATCCTGTCTCTTATACACATCTAGATGTGTATAAGAGACAGAGGTACAGTGGCCCACAAAAGTGTTCGTACACCGTTTAAAACGCAATAACTATTTTAAAACTGAACTAAATAACTTGAATCCTGTCTCTTATACACATCTAGATGTGTATAAGAGACAGAGGTACAGTGGCCCACAAAAGTGTTCGTACACCGTTTAAAACGCAATAACTATTTTAAAACTGAACTAAATAACTTGAATCCTGTCTCTTATACACATCTAGATGTGTATAAGAGACAGAGGTACAGTGGCCCACAAAAGTGTTCGTACACCGTTTAAAACGCAATAACTATTTTAAAACTGAACTAAATAACTTGAATCCTGTCTCTTATACACATCTAGATGTGTATAAGAGACAGAGGTACAGTGGCCCACAAAAGTGTTCGTACACCGTTTAAAACGCAATAACTATTTTAAAACTGAACTAAATAACTTGAATCCTGTCTCTTATACACATCTAGATGTGTATAAGAGACAGAGGTACAGTGGCCCACAAAAGTGTTCGTACACCGTTTAAAACGCAATAACTATTTTAAAACTGAACTAAATAACTTGAATCCTGTCTCTTATACACATCTAGATGTGTATAAGAGACAGGATTCAAGTTATTTAGTTCAGTTTTAAAATAGTTATTGCGTTTTAAAAGGTGTACGAACACTTTTGTGGGCCACTGTACCTAGCTGTTCCTTGTGTAAAAGTTGTCGACGGCTGTGTCGATACCGTTCCTTAAATTATTGCAACGTGAATTAAACACACAGTGTAACGATAAAGCCAAAATACTTTGTAGAATATCAATGTAAATGTAGTTTTATATCAAATGTAGTTTTACGACACCTTTTTATGTGTGCTTCTAAGAACACACACACTTATAGTTACTCGAAAACTTTATACCCATATTAGTAATTGTTTTAAGAATAATTTGAGATTTCAGTCTATAGGTTTTTACCGATACCTAGTCTTTAATATCACACTTGTTTAAATTTAAATGAAACTATATTAAAAACTAAACTAATCTGTAATAAATACAAATTATTATTTGATTTCTATATCTATAGCGTTCTAACTTGCCGTTGTCTTTCTTTTATCTTTACTTAACGATTTTTGGCGAGAAGACTTTATCTAACTTAAAGTGTAACAGAGATCAGCAGAAAAGTATTGGATTCGTAAAATGTTCTCCCTAATTCCTTAGGTACAGTTGCTACGTTACCAACTCAATTAAAAGTTAATTAAATGAAGACTATTGTACGTTATAGCATCCTTATATAGGAGTTAATTGACTAATAAAGTAAGTGCCCCATTAAGCTCCTTCGTGATCTTTCGTCGCATTGTTAAACCATATGCATCCAGAAACCTCATAACGAAACCGTGATAATATCGAACTGTGTAAATTTACAAAGATCCCGCGGACACCGCATTCTGTAATGCGTCGCCGCGAATTCTATTTGTCGACGGGCCTACGGCAACTACGATTACACACGCGGAAGCTATATTCCGTATGTATTCCCATTCCTCATGGTATGGGTTGAATATCAACAGCAATTACAATTGACTAAACTGTCTCTCAGAAGGTCTTCGAAGACTCGATTCTGTCGAAACTTTTAGCTGAAAGTCACACTTACAGAAGCATCGAAGCTCGGTCACAAAATGTCTGTTAACTTTATCCTAAAATTAAGAACAAGATTTCTATAAGTACTACGCAGGATTAGATAAACAATATACACGCATCTGGTTTTCTAATTCTCTACAATAGGACTTAAATGTTATATTTAAATGTTAATGTTATAATACCACGTCCTATTCGAAATAATTAGTATTGTATTAGCCAGTAATACAACATTCGTCTTTACATGGTTAATCTTAATATTGATAAGTTCGTTACCAACGATCATGCGTCGCATAAATCCTACGTTCAATTAATTTGATGCGTGTCGTTATTCAAAATCATACCTAACACGTATCGTGATATTCAGAATATTCACGGCTTTTCCGAGATTAATATCTTTTTACGTATTTAATAATTGGACACGATGCGCGTTAATAGAAATGAAACTGTTAGAAAGAAACGGTAATAGCGAATGTGTTAATAGTCGAATGAAGTTAAAAGGTAGAATCGAATAGTTTCTTAAATGAGAAAATATGTTTTTCCAACGTCATTTTAAAAAGATTATCCGTAGATTGATACGTGAGTAGATAAATAATTATTGTTAACTTCAATGTTTTATTACTTCGTGCATTTTTAGATAAAACTATGCTCGTCTTATAACCAAATCATAATAGATTGCAATGTCACTCCAATTATATCTATACTGAGAAATTATTTTCTACCAAAGTAGCTCCATATTAAAAATTTTCCATTTTCTTCCACACGATATATTGAACCGACATATACACTGATTTTCGTGAAAGTACAGGTTAAAATGCAAATTCAGACAACGATTTACTTAAGTACAGTACGTTGGGGGATATTGTGATATGAAACATTAATACGCGCGCGCGTGCGCCCCAAAAGTTCTTTTCGTAATGCTCGGGCTTAATACTACTAAGCAACCTGGACACATACAAACGACATGACCATCCTTTCGTTAACATTTCGTTATTTCTTACGTTTTCAAATGTTTGCCGCGCTATTTGCTGATTTGAAAAGCTATTTTGAATTCGCATCGTCCGCATCATATCTACAATAGCATTCTAGCTTGTATCTTAAATCAATGGTTTAGTAGAGACACGATATACAGGGCAATGTACAAAGTTACAGAGTGTCGTTTCAAATACATAGGAAGTGCAAGGTATCCTGCAACAGATGGAGGAAGATTTAGGAAGTTTATTGATACATTTAGTCGGACAACTAGACCGCGGATTTTATCCAATTATGACAAAAATGGATAAGCGAAACACAGAGCGATCGGGTCATTAGAAAAATGTATGAATTTTGTTACACTATTCTCAATTTATTGAAACTAGTAAAAGAACAAGTGTCAGGAGTTAATTTATGTCGAACCTGTTCCGATGCCAACAATTCTTAATTCGCATAAAAATCCGCCGTCTAATAATAACAGTAACAGTTTCTGTATCACAAACGATTATCAAAAATACTGTCCGCAGAAAAGTAGCAGAACCAACAATATTTGTGTTTCAAATTTCAATACTTCCGTTTTCATTTTGTTTTAGGCAAGGTAACCCTCGGATCGAGCAGAGATGCGGATATTTCTGTCGTTGGTACCAATGTTGAATCCATTCATTGCGCGATTGAAAACAATAACGGTGTGGTCACTCTTCACCCCATAAATGGAAGCACAGCGGTCGATGGTGTACCGATAAATTCGCCAGTGAGACTCGCTCAAGGTAAGACCTTGACTTAAATACGGATGACCGGGACCTCGAGTCCTCAAGAAGCCACTTCTCGGTTAATCCTTGCTTACGAAATTGTGTTTAACAATTTTGACACGACGAACCTTTTACGATATTGCCTGAAAATCTCTGAAAGTCAAAGAATTCATTCGAAGAACAACAAAGAATCTCTTCCCTCTTCCGTTCCCGCTTTGACGATAATGTTAGTTTCATTTATAAAATCGAATATAACAAAATGTATATTTTATTCCAAAATATTTATATTACATCTCTGATCTACGATTTTTCTGATATCAATTTTAGTTACAACATGGACATAAAAAAAATGTTGTTGAAAGAATGTTTATAAATCATGTTGCTTTCAAAATGGATAACTTGAAATGTAACTTAACGACTGTACCGAAATTTAATTCTGTATTTAATATTCTGATAGAACATCGTAAAATATATTTTTTAACCTAATCTAACCCTTTGCTTATAACAATGAGTTATTCAACTTTTTAAAATTGAAATAAAATGTTGTTTCGTTATCAATATTCAAACATTAAAATAAATATAGGCATACAGTAAATATGAATTTTCTTTAATACATCGAATGCCATACTAATTTTACATGACTTATGCGCAATATGCGCGCATGATGTTTGAGCGTATATAAAACTATTTTTATGTGTGTTTTATATTACATTAATTTCTTCACACCATTTTAATAACGACGATAATATTGAAAAACTTAAACGCATTGTAATTCAGACGAATCACATGTATTTCTAGTAATCTTGGCTTCGTTGGTATTGATGACGGTGATCCTCGTGACATTTAACATGTTAATTACTGTGAAAATTTCTGAATGCAAAGAAATTCTGCGAAATATTGAGCTTTGCTTTTATCCATAGAAATTATCTTACAATTCCAATAATCGTAAAATAAGAAAGCTAAATGTAGTCATTTTAATTGGTTGGACCAGATTGTTCTAATGGCAATATCGAAAGATTCGTGGAGTAATTACGAATGAACGACTCCGTTAGAAGATTGATCGAAAAAGAGCATTAATGTCCCTTACGAAATGGATGATTTGTACAAAGAATCACACAAAGCAGAATCATCGACATCGAAAAATTAATTTAACAAAATCCAAATCCCAATCAAAATCACGTAACATTGAGCAAGTGGTTTGATCAAAATTTATTGATATTTGATATATTGTTTCAGGTTGCATGTTGTCGATCGGAAGATCCAATTACATGCGATTCAATCACCCAGCCGAAGCGAAACAATTAAGATCAGTGTTGCCGCACTCAAGAATTTCAATGGCGCCGATAAGCTTTTTGCTGCCGGAGAATCAGCTCCAGGAGAACTATCATTTGGAGAGGAAGCCCCCGGTCGCGCCGCGAAAATCGCCGAGGAACTCTTGTTCGGACGACGAGATCGGTTTTCTCGGGAAGTTGACGAAATTCGAGATGCTCGCGAAACAAAACCGAAACAACTGCGTCTCGCCGAAAGTGTTTCCAGCTGGTGCGATTACCACGAACGTTCCGGCGGATCAAATCCTCGGTCACTCGAGATCGTCCAGCCTGCTCTCGTTGAAGAACGGGAACAACAATTCTCCTCTGCAAAATTTAACCAATTTGGACAGGAGTCGTTCGAATACACCCTCGTTCAACTCGTCCTCCCCGTCTCACTTCTTGAACGCTTCGTCTCCGGGCAACTGTTTCGCATCGTCCTCCTCGAATCACTGCTCCGACGAAAACCGGCAAAGAGAAGCGAGAACTCCTAGCAGATCTAATACGCCCAATCATCAGTATCAAAACACTCCGACGAATCACAATCAGATTCAGATGTATTCCTCGGCGGAGTCCTACCTGAAGACCTACAAGCCCTATTACCGGGAGAACAACAATGAGAACGCACACAGTCCACAGAATCCGGTACTGAAGAACTCGGCCAGTCAAGGGGATCTGATGTCGCGCAGCCTGACATGCCAGAGATCGACCGATTTCGACGAAACGAATGAGAGGGAGTACGACATGAGTCAAAGTTTGATCGTAACAAAAACCACCACTACGGAATATCTTCAGATGGACAAGTTCGGCTCGAACCCGAGCATCTGCAACAACGCCAACAACGGCAACTTCTGCACCGGAAGTCTGAGGAACATGAGTGGCGTGCAGCATTTCGGCTCGAATCCGAATATTAAACGAATACAGCCGCCGAGTCCGGCGTTCAACCGCAATCCGAAGTATAACGATCCGAAAAGGAGCTTTGGCCGGGTAAAAAGTCCGACCCCGAGCACCGAAAGCGGTTGCTCGTTGGAGGAACTGCGGGAAAGACAGATCGACGCGGAGAACAAACGCAGAGAGGCGGAGAACAGGCGGAAACAGGCGAAAGAGGAGAGACTACGAGAACAAGAGGTTGAGAGGCAGGAGAAAATGAGACTTGAAGAGATTCTTGCCATGTGTGCCGAGTACGAGAGGCAGAGTGCTGCGGAGAAACCGAGGCAACCTAACAGGTGAAAAGTTCTGTTACCTAGTGAAAAAGAATCGGGGCATAGGCAGTCCGTGATTACGGCAAAATTTGTATACATCAATGACCCGTAACAACGTGTGAAAATCTATTATTTAGTTTTAATTAGAGAATTTGCAAGTTCGACCATCGGTCAAACATGAAAACAACAATATAAAAAGGAATTGATGTTTCATTTATGAAGCACAATTTTTCCTTCGTTGGGCTATCACATTGACAATCAATAAAATTGAATTACACCGAATGCATTGAAATTGATCTGATTCGGCTAATAGGGTAAAATTCTATTTTAGAAGCTCGCGTTCGATAAACGTGAGAAAGCTTTCTTTTCTTGGTTATTCCTACATGTTATTATAAAACTCCATTATTTAACCCTCATCTAACCCTCGAGTCAATTTGACACGGTTTCCGCGGATACTGAAGAAATAATCTGTTCCATAGATTGTTTTATTAGTTCTGAACAATGCAACAAATCTACGTTAAAAGTAGTCTTACCTCATTTTAGGTTTTCATTTTTAAAGAAGGGATTTACTAAATTAATGTCTCATCTGATTCATTTTTTAACGTTGTGTCAATTTGATATCAAATGACAGATTATCCCGTAGAAATGAGGAACGGACGAGGGTTAAGTTATTTTGGTTATAAAAATAATAGTTTTGCATTATCGCTGTTACTTTCCCTGTTTTAATCAATGTTGTAAGTATTTATCCAAAAAATAAATATCAATTTTCAAAAGCGCATGTTGAGTTTAAGCTAAATTATATGTAGAGAGAGAGAGAGAGAGAGAGAGAGAGAGCATTTTAATATTTTAATGGCCTTAGAATATATGGCATACAAAAATCGCTCGACTTTTAAGTTAGAGCTTATACGAAAGTATTTTGTATGTATATATATATCTTTTAGAGCATTGTGTGCTTTACAATAGATTTGCGTCAAGTTTTTCACAGTGCAACTTTAGGTCACAAAAAGTCCATCAATAAATTCACTAACTCTGAACTGTAACTAAATGTATAGGAATTATATATCCATTAGTATACTATGTATATCCATAAATTGGGATATACAACCTCTGGCAATAAGTGTTTGACCAGAAGCAATAGCAACGAATTAATTTAAAAAACGAGATTGTTTACACCACAAATGCTACAACATAAATATAAAAGCCCTGGCGATTTTAAATTGGACATATATTGAATAAATACGCGACATATAATTAATATTTTAGTTTATTTTCTTAACAAAGGTGTACGCTCTTGCTGTCTTCCTCGATGTTTAAAACTGCCATCTGGTCTAAAAAGTGATACATTAAACTTAATGAGATCATTTAAAAGGATGAAATGTCCCCAAATGAAGTAAACAAAGTAAACAAAATAATTTTATAATAAATGATCTCTCCATTAAATCTCTCCATGCGTTTCTGTCGACACAGACCAGTAATAATAGTTAATATACATATTTCAAAACTAGGATACGAATGATTTTGTGAGCCTGTCGTCAAATATCGAAAACGAATCATTTTTGATCCACGATCAATTTAATCGAACAAATCAGCTATAAATTAATCGTCATTGCTACTTTATATTTGAATACTTTAATTTTTATTTTTCAATGACTCCATAATACAGATACAATAAAACCTCGATTATCTGGAACTTCGATATCAGAATTGTCTCTATTATCGGTATAAATCAATAAAGATTTAGTTTTTCACTGTAACTAATTGTAAGCAACTATTCTATATTATTCGAACATTCGTGTAATTTTGCTTAGCTCGCAGAATAATCGAGGTTCGACTGTAATAATATTGATTTCATTTCATTCTTAGTGAAATAAGTATAAAATTCTAGATTACCAAGAAACTCTCGCACGGCTGTCTCTGAAATGTAAAATTCGCTTCCATTTTACAGAATCAAAACGAACGGCTCGCTTCCACGTGACAAAAGACTTGGCTACAATTCGCCTTTCGAGAGCCCGAAAAGCCCCTCGAAAACGCAGTCGCATTTCTCCTTCGACACGAGTAAGCAAGCCCATTCGACATCGTACGAGAACGTATGCGTGCAGAACTCGAAAATTATTTTCCAAAACGGTAATTCGTCGAGCACCTGCCGAAACCCGGCCAATCAACCGGAGATCCAAACGACAAACCCGCAGAATCACCATCCGCAGTCGACTACACCGAACCACAATCAAACGACAAAGTGGCCAAACGTTCATGGCAACGGGGACTATAGTTTTTCCGGCTCGATCGCGCAGGTACGTAGCCCGGGCTACGATAACGCGACAATCGACCATTCCGTATTAAACAATAATAATAACAATAACAGTTACGGGCTAACCAACGACGGGGTGAAAGAAACGTCCGCCTACGGGACGATCCAGTTGAACGGAACCAGAATCGTCTCGCAATCGAATAACACGCGAAATTATGATAACTCGACGTCGGCCAGCGGTAACGTTAGCTTATATGAGAACGTTGTACTAATTTCGGCGCAAAACAACAATCAAAATCATTCCATACCAAAGAAAAACGGTCAGACTTCGAATTCGTGCGAGATGATTGAGAACAAGTTGGCGATATCAAACGACGACCTTCTCGAAGCAATCGAACAGCTCTCGATGCTGTCGAAATCCAAAGAGATTTGCATGATTCCGAAGAAAAATAATTTGGAAAAAGACAACGCGAAGTCGAACGAGGCTAAGGCTGATAAAGAGAGGAAGGAACTCGAGGAGGAGGATAGACGGAAGTACATAGAGTTCCTCCAGAATGAAAAGTTGCATATCCTTGGAAATATGGACGCGTTGAAGAGGAGCGTCGCGGACATTGAGATTCAGGAAGAGGAAATTAGTAGAGAGGTATGTACGTTGCTTGTATTCTCTCTTTCACTCGATTATTTGAAAATGTTTGTTAGAGCAAAAGCAAACGAACTCTATTTGTTTCAATATGTGCTGACAACTGAAGAGGATCGGAAGTAATGTTCTTTTTCATTGTGTCGTAGTCGAAATCATAGTTAATGCTAAATTAATTAAAGAAATCACTTCCATTTTGAAAATATGCACCATTTTCCGCATGTATGTATTAATATTGGTTAGATATTTAGTAAAACTTAAACGATGAGCACCAAATTATTAGGTGCCCTAAATAGATAATCTTGAGCAGGTGTATGTATAGTTTACGTTATAAATACATTACTTTAATTGAGTCAGAGGAAAAATAGATTTTGCTTAGCTTATTGAATAAATAACCATACTGATTCGATACTCTGTATGTATACGAAGACACTACGCAATGACGCTGCTACAGAAGAGCTATTGAAATCCAAGTTTTCTCTTATCGATGAGAGTTTTGAAACTGTTATGAATAAATGAAGAAGAATTTTCGGTACAATAATTACGTGTAACATCCTTATCGAGAAAATAATTGCTACTTATTCATTTTTGTTGTAACAGTGAGGATACTGCTTTCAAGTCGTCTAAAATGTCTAAATATCATATATGATTTAGCTATATCTATGCGGCAATTTCAATATACATAGTCGTTTGGGAAATATAATACACACACAATACTTACTTAACTTATTTACTATTAGCTTTAGTAACTGAACCCTTACTATTCTCCCGCGAGTCATGAAAGTAAGATTATAAATTCAAAACATGTGAAGTATTGAAAACACAATATTTGCAGTCTCAGAATGAATTTTGAACTTCAGTAGATAAAGCGAAAATTCGCGGCATCTTCTCATCTTATTGTTTTGAATGTCTTTGCTTCAACTTGATTTGACTAGCTGCAACTTGTTTCAGCCTTCTTCAACATGTTAAAACTTGCTTCAATCTGCATCAAAGTGCTTCAACCTGCTTTAGCCTGTTCCAATTTGCTTCATCTTGCTTTACATGCTCCAATCTGTTTCAAACTGCTCCAGTCTACTCCGACTTGCTTCAAACTACTTCAGCCTGTCCGAAACTCCCAATCAGCCGAGTCTGCTTCGACCAAATACATGTAAAACGCTTGATTGTATACTTTGGGAAGAAATTTATGTGAATTTGGTGCCAAGGTTCTGCTGAAAGGAGAGCCTGCTCGGTATTTGGCACTAGACGCATGGCGTTGCCAAATCAATGGCAAATCTTTGCGTTTCAAGAGGGAGATCGGTCGTACTCATGTGGTAGACATAGCAGCGCTACAAGTTTTGGCCTGTATTTGGCATGAACAAGACATTGGTGCTAAATCCGTGTTATATGCCGAAACAAATGGCTCGATATTCAGCACAAACTTGTGTCCTCCTATTGAAAAATTTTTCGATTCTAGATTAGTACAATATTGTCGTTTAATTTCAAATTATATATGTAGCTTCACAGTCTATTTATTGTTAACTCGATTTATTTGACCTTCTCGGTTTTCTTTATAATTTTAACTTTAAGTTTCAAGGTACAGATTTATACATTCGACGGTAAAGATAATCGGCAGTACGCCTGCCTTCTTATCAATGTTCGTCTTCGAGTAAATATTGGGTTGCCATTTTTGCAGTTTGCGATAAGTTTCTTCCACTATCGACACCATTCTTGGTATAGTCACCATTCGAAGTCCGTGCATCGAACATGTCGCGAAAATTTATACAATACTCGATTCAAATAATTTAATATTAAAAATTTAAATATGAAAGATGTTACTGTACTCTGTTTTGAAATAAAAATTCTCAAGTTATATTTAAAACAGGTAATTGAATACTTATCTATATAATTTGTAATGAGAGACACTGTTCCGTCATTGTGGGTTCGGAGAATTCGGATGTTACAGTATTGGAATTTGAATGTAAACTTTGCTTGTCCTTATAATTATTATGTTTACATACAGCTTATGAATTTATAAACACAATGAAATTATAAACACAAACTTTAGCAATATTATTTTACTATAAAAATTGTAAATGAAAATGTTCTATACATTTGAATATTCAAATATTTACAATATAACACGCTGCAGAAAAGTGTACGTTAAAATCCGAATTTCACTCAACTGACATTTAGATAATTATTTGGAAAAGAAGTAATTGTACAGTCGACGTGAAACATGTAGATCATTATTGAAATATACTCACACACATGCCATGGAAATATTACAGCGTCATTGTTGTGTTGAATAAAATTACATGAAATTTTTGCAGTATTACTTTATAAATTATTTTTATAAAAGATTTTCGAACAAGTCTGCTAAAACTTATATTATTCCGATAGTTCGAGTTAGAAAAGGCGCTGCTATCTGCGGAATACGAATCAGAGTCCTTAAAACTCAGTCAGGATGAGGGCGAAAAGATTAAAGTGCACATGCGGATAAACGAGCTCGAGAGACAAATGACTGTAGACAATACAACGCAGGCGAATTTGCAAGCGGAAGCCAAGCAAAGGGTTCAAAGGGCTCAACAGGCTTGCAGTCGCTTAGAGGAAGAACTAACTAACTGCGCGGACGAAGACGCGCAATTAGATATTAGCAAGAAACTCAGTGCCCAGCAAGACATCTTGGAATCTGAAAGGAAAGCATTTGAAGACTTAGAATTCCATCATCTCGAAGAGGAGGCGAGTAAACTGGCAACTAGGGAAGAATTACAAAGGTAAAGTTACATTTATATTATTTTTATTCTTTACATGTGATAATAACGCTTTATTGAAATATTGTAACGCACAGTGAGTTTGCGAAATCTGTAGCAGCTGAAATCAAATTCTATACATATTTGACACAAATTACGTAATAAATTAGTAATAAATTGCACCTTTGATGCAATAAAATCTATTCTTCTGTTGTTTGCAATACAGAAAAATTATTAAAATTTTTTAATTATTCATGTATTATCCTTAATCAATGACAAAAAGATGTTAAATATTGATTGTTAGATGCATAACGTATTGCATTAATTAATAAATAAATAAATAACGCATGTAGCGTTGAATATTTAATTATTATAATAATATAATAATATAATAATTAATAATAATTGCGGGTTGCTTGTATACTGCCTTATAATTAAAGAAGTTTCCAGGCATCCGCTTCTTTCATTATTTATGTACAGAATTCGTAATTTTCAGATACTTAAGTGAACTGACTACAAAGATTGAAACCAGGAAGGCCCGATTGAATCACTTGGAATCACAAAAATCTGAAGCAAAAAGCACAGCGACCAAAGATGCGAGGAGTCTAGAGAGACAGAAACTAGCGCATTTGAAGCGGTTGGAAGAAGTCAGTACATTCACAATTTCACTTAAATTGTATTACTTGTACTAATGATAATATTACTTCAACAAACTATAGATTTAATATACATTTAGAGTAACTTGTATTAATAATAATATAAAACTCGATTTCTGCCTCGCAGTTAAAAAATTGGACTTGTTTTACATAAATTTAACCAGTACAATTCTATCTTAATCTCTCACTCCTTTTCTTCTCTTCCTTTTTTCCTAAAATCTAGGTCTACTCGAATTGAAATTCATTTCAACCGAAATTCCACATACAAGCGCAATACTCTCGGTTACGTGTAATCTCGGTAGCGATCGCACTACTCGATTCATTTTCGCAAGATTCTATGATCATTTATATATAGTTCATTATCTTATCCACACAAGAACTTGAGAAAAATATATTGTGAATTACTCAGTGGTACTACCTTTTAAATTTGTATAATTTATCAAGCATGTATAATTTATCATTTAATGACTGAATTTTGTTTTCTTAAAACAGGGTCGAAACCGAGTTAGAGCAATAAACGACGAATTGACGAAATTAGCACAGAATTCGTGCGAGAACTCTGAAGAGAAACGATCTCCGAGCAGAGAAGACTTTGACAGGATCTCAAGAGTTACCACAGACTCTCCTATTGTCAATAATCAGGGTAGCTTAGGAAGGAAGACTATCGAATCCCTCAAAGAAATTGAGAGAAATCGACAACTTCATTTAGCAAAACAAGGTAATATATTTCTCACATATGTACAATCGATATAAAAAGTATTCGAACATCTTTTAAAAGGGAATAATTTTTTTATAATTGGGCCAAGCAATCTAATTTTTGTTGAGATGTTAGAGCGACGTTTACTAGACAATGGATATAAAATTGTTTTCAAAAATTGCAACTGTTTGGAATGATAAAAGAAATCTTTTTAATGATGTTTTTTAAATAAGCCTGTAATGATAATTTAAAAAATGCATTTTGAAGATTTTGGTAACCTATATGCATTTATCAATGAACATTTAAAGTTCGTTAAAATTGCAGTTCTTTATGAATTTCAAGCAAAAACAGGTCATTTTTACATCTCTCCATGGCTATAGCAAGATTGCGTCAAACGATTTCAATAAAATTTTCAACATGTACATAAGTTACAGAAATCTATAAAATGTATTTTTTAAACTTTCATTCTAGGTTTTATACCTTTTCAGTAATAATTAAATAATACCTTCTTAGGTATTGTCTAGAAAACTAATCCGTTTAATATCCTATCAAAATTTAGAGCGCTTTGCCGAATTCGAAAAAAAGTAATTCCATTTTGAAAGGTATACGAATACTTCTTACACCGACATGTATCGTGGCATATTCTGAAACGATTTGCGAGTTTTAAATGTCGTGGAGTACAAGTTTCAATTTATATGCCTTTATACATTTTCAGCTAATTTTGAAAAAGAATTTTTAATCTTCGTTAGTTCTGTTCAAGATAAGACTGATCACTAAACTGGAGATTTCCATAGAAATTACAAATTCCTTAACTCAAGTGCAAAAAATAGGAGCTAACTGAAAATATATTTCTTCTTCGAATAATTTTCATAACTTTTGTATATTTTTATCATAAATACATAAATTCTGTAGTCTACTTGTAATTTAATTTCGCATATCGTTTCATAAAGCTTACAAATTTTATTTAGAGTGCTGTTTATTTAGTTGTACTGTTTTCAACTATAATGTATAGTAAGTTTGGAAACTTCTATAATTATAAATTCTTATAAACCAACGAAACCGACAAATCCAACATGCGGCATTTAATCGTAGATTTCAAAATTCATATTTCAAAGTATTCTAATTGTACTATTAGAACCGATTCTTCACGTAAGTTGATTCGTTGAGGAATCTACGTTTCGTAGTGGAAAAGAGCTACGACCACCCGGTAGACTTGTCAGGTAGTCTCGGCTGGAAAAGTGGAGAAGCAATGGACCGCCCGGCAAGCACGTGTAGGCGGGACGGTGGAGGTCAAGAGGTTCAATCTGGTAACGCTACTCGCGAGCATTGTTGCCGGTCCGGTACGATTTCAGTGCTTTTCGCTTTTCAGTGCTTGTCTCACCCCTTGACTACGAAAAGCACTGAAATCGCCCTGGACCTAGCAACACTGCTCACGAGCCATAAGTTGGCTAGACCTGTGCATGTGTAGGCCTGTGTTACACAGTCCGGCAGTGTGGCTATATCACGACGGAAACTGGCGCAGGGGACTTGGGGTGAAGGTGCTAGTAGGAAGAAAATTGGTATCAAAATCCATGTTACATGGTACGCGACGGGCAACGCCATCTGACGCGACGACTCGACGCAGCACGTTAGAATCGTGTACTTTACGATTCACGATCAGTGTTCACGGAGAAATAAGTTACGGAGGCTCTACATATCGCGTCGCGCTGTGCGGGACTCCCGCGTATGCGTCGCCCCACTCCTTGTGTAACTTATTTCTTCGTGAACACTGTTCACAACGTTCGCATCGTGACCATTTTCAAATGAACGAATTTAATTTTTTATACGATTTATATATCGTCAGAAGCTTATGTTATTTCAAAATAAATCATTCCTTTTTAAATAAGTTCAATAACCTAAAATAATTTGAATCACACGGTATCGTATATTATTGTAACTATAATATAGTTATAATCGATATAAGAGTAATGATCTACGACGTAGATTCTACGCGCTGTTTGCCGTTCTTCCTACATCGCTTTTATCCCATTTTTTTAGCTGCCAATAACATGAGAACGATAACAATATAGTAAAATCGTTAGTATTGATTTTTGTACTTGGATTAACTTGTAAAATAGTCCCTTAAAATATTTGATATTTGTGTATCATATACTCGTTGTTGAAGTACAATTTCTTTCTAAATTATTGTTGTTGCAATTTCACTTTCATTTGCTTATGTAATCGTTTTCTTCTTTTCACTTCATGAATTCCAGCATTAACATTAATTTCCTTATAAGAGCTCGACTTAAAGATTATGAAATATGTAATTCGATGAAATCATTGTTAAATCTGCTTAGACAATCGTATTTTAGTTTTTGGACATTTACCTATATAAGTAATGAAAACTAAATGATGTGACTAGTGGCCATGCGATGAACTTTCAGTGCTGATAGATGGTTGAGGACAAATATATCTGGACGCCTTTTAAAACGGAATAGTCTTTTTTTTTAATTGGATCTAACGATTTAAATGTTTTTAAAATGCCAGAAGAGCTAGTTTGCTAAACAATCCATACACAAATTTTTGCAATCATAACAATTGAGTAGAATGACAAAACAGATAAAAGGACCACGTTTTTCAACTATTTCATCTGAGCATATAAAGAAAATGTAAGCAACGCGATTTTTACGACTCGGTAACTTTATATACATGCTAAAAATTTCGATGAAACCGATAAACGTTGCTAAAAAAATCGCAGGCTTTCATGACTTTTGACTAAAAACTATAAGAAATCGAGAGATGTTCAGCATGAATACAAAATACGGAGATTTAAAAAAATGTATTGTTTGTATTTTCGTTATTGCATTTGGACCAATTCAAAAAAATTATTCCGTTTAAAGGGTGTTTACATATATTTGATCAAACACTTCTAACTTTGTACTACCATACAGAATTTGTTAGCGGTATGAAGAAATGAAATGAAAATTATATTCATCTGGATTTAATAATCTTATTTAAAATCTATTCCTGAGAACACTTTACCGGCCGCAGGTACAACAGTCCTGCCATAGAACGAATTAACGTTAACAGCCGCTGGTACAACATGTGTATCGTACGCAGGTATTCAGGAAAAGTCGTTACGCACAGAGTAGGGGCAGACGACGCATGCCCGGGAGTCCCGCACAGCGGCATGGCACGTCTACAAGGTGGCACTTATTGTATCTGCAACTCTGTGTTACGTCGCGTTGCCATCGTAGTTCAAAATTATAATGTTTACCCGGTAGACACGCCGCGCTGCTGTACGGGACTCTGCGCATGCGTCGTCACCCCATTCCTTGCGTAGCGACTTTTCCTGGATACACTTATCATCCGCCGTTCGGTGTCAGTTCGGTCGTACAAATTACTATCATTTAAATTTAAATATTTGTGAAGTTTACCTGACAATTGATTGCTGATTTACAAACTATAATTTAATTATAATTTTGTTTATTTGTAAAATAGCAGTTTAATCCGCGTTTAATAATATCATATTCTAATGACGTAATTAATTTATTTTCATCTGTCATTTGTTACAGGTAGCCAAGTAATTTCCGAGGAGCGACGAAGGGTCGAAGAATTAAAACGAAGAGTGCAAGACGAGGTTCGATCACAATGGGAAGAAAGAAAAATGAACTGTACTTCGTTCAATAGTGTTGAATCGGGTGAAGAATCATCCAGTTATTCAACAGGGCCAACCGAAAGGTGAGTCATATATCGATTCGCGTTAACACTCCCAATCGATAGTTACGTGTGCTTTAGTTCTGCATATAAAGGTATTCATAATTTCTCCATATTTAATAACATAATGCATACAGCATATTTCGCAAATATTTTCTTATAATACGCTGAAATATATTTTCAAAACTTGCCGAAAAAATGCACACAAGTACTACAAGTAATCATTACAGTTGAGTATTGATAATACGAAGTTATATAAAATTGTGTTTCTTCTTTTTATAATAGTAAGAATTTTTTTATTTTATTTATCCGTATCATTTTATTACATTTTATTCATTATATTGATTATCATTTTTTCTTAGCTAAGTGGCAATATTAATATCTATTATAAAAATTCTAAAATTGTTTTATGCTTTATCAAATCCGGATAAACGACGATATTTACTTCGGATAGATGTAGCAGTTATCATGTTCCGTGCCACGTGTACCACTGATGGTACGTGCTTACGTGCTTATTTAATGCGTTAAAAAAATAGTTTATAACAAATTTAGAACTGAAAAATTAATTTCCATTACAAGAATTGGTTTTAATAACATTGTTTCATTCTTATATATACGATAATTAATAATTACATATAATATATCAAGTTTGAGTAAAATATCAAATGGTTAGTGTGAAGAATAGAGTAAAAACAGCTTGGCACGCAACATGTTAACTTGTAAATAATTATTCACTCTTCTTACAAAATTGATAAAACACTGGTTATAGATAAATATCACACAAATTTTAACGATAGCAATAGAGTTGTAAGAAATAATCCCTATATACCTTAAAACAATTATGCATTTTCTTGTTGTTGGAAAATCGTTCAATTTACTGGAAAAAACCTCTCACGATCCGTAACGAATGAGGCGTAAAAGTTATAATGTGTAGGGAACGAGAAATTGTCGCCCAATACCAGCCAAATATCTATAATAGTTAAGGAATTTTAAGGTTTAGATGATTAGTAATGTTAGTAAAAGAAACATTTAAAAATAGAACAGAACTCAGTACTTTTGTTTATGAACGTCTACGTTTTCCTCTTTATTAAATTGATGTGGTAATTTTAAATGTGCAATCAAATCATATGCCAATTGATCTTTTATGTAAGAAACTAGATGACTTTCGAATTCCTCGGCAAACTTTTGTTCGAATCTCTGTGGAATTAAATGTCCGAGAACATTCATTACTGTAATTAACAGAATATATCTCTCCCATTATAGAGAAGCTTTTATTTGAAAATTTGATTAATTCTAAAGAAACCAAAATCTCTAATCTCCACAATTCTTTCGTGTCTGATCCGATCGAAACTTTTTACAAGAAATACCACATGTGATAAATTCCAATATGCCTCGTGAAAGAATTCCGGAACATTTTCGAACTGTGCACTGTACTACAATATAGACAAATCTGGAAACTACGATTTTGACGAGTTTCGGTGGTTCGAGCGTTACAAAAGTGTCTGTCAAAAGTGCGGAAAGATCTCGGAACGTTCTCAGAGTCGTTTGCAAAACTATCCCCCGGGATAAAAGTTGGCTGTTCCGCGACGGCTGGTATCGCCGTAACGGAGGAATACACGATGGAACGCGAAGGAACGCGAAGAAACGCGCAAAGCGAGAAAATCGCAATTACGCCGGCGTATATGGAACAGTGTTAAACGTTTCTAGAGGCCCGCCACTCCCGGCGTTGACTCTTTAATCGGCGTACGGTACGAGGAGAGCCGAGTCTGGTCGAGTCAAGTTGTTCTTTTCCCTTCTCGCGATTAATGGCACGGCATGTGTAACCTAGGAGGAGGGACTCGTCATCGACACGTCGTAAGTGTTGCGTGGACGCGTCTTTTATCGGACGGTTTCGCGAAACTGGAATCCATCGAGAGTAAAATGTGTCGCCGTCGCAGCCTTGGTCGAAGCGAGAAAGTGGTCGAGGGGGGCGTGCGCGCGTGCTCGATCCGAACGGAGCGTCCGAATCGTACGAATCGTCGTCGACGATCGCAGATTGCCGGGATGATTACGGTGCCCGGCAATAAAACGCTTTTATCAGTCCAGTTCGTCGTTGCCTGGCCACGCGGTGGGTGGGGTGTTATCAGGCGATACGATATCTGTTGCAGCTAGCTGCCTTTCCACGCGAGTCTAATACCGTTGACCGTCGTGCTCTAGTCCCTGATGAAAACGGTTCGTCGCTACATCATGTCGGAAAACCCGGCCAGCACCTAACCGATCAGCTCCCGGGATACACCCGATAAGATAAGCCGGTCCGGTCCGGTCCGGTCCGGTCCGGTCCGTCTAATAAGTGCAACCAGTGCGAATGCGAAGGATTTTCGAAACCTGCACCGATCGAGGCGAAGCGTCGCGCCGCGCCGGTTCTTCGCAGACTGTAAACCGTAAATCCTCCTATAAGCGCGAATGCTTCGAGCATCGAGTACCATATACGGGGTGAGTCTGAAGTACAGAGACGCGGTCTACCAGCCCATTGTGCTCTAGACAAGTTGATAATCAACTGGGATCCCAGCACAGCAAACCTTTCGACTAACTTTCGTTCTCAATTATAATCGCGAACAGAATTCTTGTTCAAATAAAGTTTGTTAATCGGAGTAGGTAGCGTCGTAATTAACACATTTTGTGAAGCTGTTGCAAGGTTTTCAACCCCATTACCGTTTCTTAATTTCTCCTTATCATCGATGTAACATCGTGTTAACGTTGCATCGATACGTTTATTTTACCACTTAGACAATAATGGTATACGATAAACGTATCGGTTACCGATGTTGGTACCGAAATTTGAATAAAGAGATGAAGATTGGATTTGGAAATTTTTTTTGTATGTAACAAATGTTAACAGTCTTTGTTAATAACAGATAACGGAATAGCATTCTGTTAAAGCGTGTGAAAGAGATCAAAGCTTGTCTTGCGAATTTTACACCCGTCAAATTGCACTCAATTTACAGTATCGATCTACCGAACTTAAAATTTGTATCTTACAGTTAATTAGGTATTATTATGTTTAATATCTTGAAAACGAATGACGATTTTATTATTGTTAATTATTCAATCTGTGATCCAATTATAAAATCAAATTATAAATTCTCTCCAATTGTCCTCCAGCTTGTAAACAAAAATGGACAATTTGTCCATAATCGTATGAATGAATAATCGTATCTCCCCTTCCCAAATTGTCCATTTTTGTTTACAAACTGAGGGACAATTGGAAAGAATTTACTGTACTTTGGAACACTTTCGGGATTATACGATTATTGTTACTTTTTTTTACCATTAATTAAAAATCTATACTTTAACTACTAAAACTATTAAAAATGGCTTCCAATCTGAAATCAGTTGATTCTGAGATGTAGTCGCCTAAGTTTTGATATTGTATGTCGAATTTCTTGATTTTCTTAACTTGAAAATTATATTGTCCAGCTATTGAAATTGACGATTGTTCAAAAAGTATACGTGTGTTTCATAGATTCGCCTGAATTGTTATAAGTTGGTGTAGATGTAATTACGTCGACGGTAAGAAGTTTCGTACTTTGGACTGTTATTTCATTAATAAGAATAAAAGCGTATCGTTCATTTTCAACCAAGAACTGGAAAGCATATGCCTATGACTGTAACCGATGTTTCTTGAGAGAGAGTCCCACACCAACAAACTATTAACTTTTTTTTTATCGCAACAACACAGTTTGGACAAGATAAACTTCGGTAACTTCGAGAGTGTCATAATGATCTACGGCTGTCATAGATAGATAACAAGTTTACATTTTCATAGTAACATGACAAAATGTAGAAGTAAATGACTTCAAACAGGTGTACCAATTAGTCGGTAATCTTGAAAAATGTATAAATGTATAGTTTGAAATAAATGTAAAAATGTTGTAAAAATTAATTTCGAAAAAGACATGATCTAACGAACAGAATTTAGGCAGCAACCTGATCATGAAAGTTAACGGTACGATAGTTAATATACAGAAAAATTAATTAAAATCTTTATCCTTGATGATAACACCAAATAGTCGTATATTGTGCCGTTTACTTTTACTTACGGGTACAGACAGTAAAATGAATTGAATCGTGTATAATTATACAAATGTATAATTTGTGATATTTATAAATAATTTGATCTTTCTAAGATTTATTATTCGTAATGCGAACACAATGAAAGTAATATTTTCTAATCTAAATGACGTTCGCATAAATACCAATATCATATAAACCCATAAGAATAAGATAGAAAGTAGATATTTCTACTTTTATAACCATACTTTCTCCATCTTATTCGGCACACAAACGATGAACGTGAGCAAATAGCAAAGGAAAACCGTTTTACATTTGCCGTAATTTGTAAAGTAACAGTCAGTTTAACAGTTCCCATTCATCGCAACATTATCAATGTCCCCGAAACACAAAAAGCGCATGTAAATTTCGTTACTGTACTTCAAACTCACCGTGTACGTAAGAAACCTACTAAAAGATTTATCTCTCGAAATACACGATGCAGGCTGTCGAAGGCGGTTACCCCGACAAATTGAAGAAATTTTGTGAATAACGAAGCACAAGGTAAAGGGGACGCTGACGTCGGATTTAGAAAGTGACAAACGAAAAAGGAAATGAAGTTAGTGTGTCCGATTGTCGGAAAACCGTGGCATTGATTGTTGGTGTCTTGCAGAGAGAGAAAAAACGTGTCATCTTGGCCATTCGACGAGATAAGCTCGCGCAAATCGTGTTTAAACAATTTATCGAGATGTACATATATCAAAGAGGAGCAATAAGAATTTTCTTGACGCGGGAACCCGAATTCAGCATCGCGGGTAATAACGGCTTCTTCCTTCCCAACGACGGTGTGCACGGTGACGAACTGTTGTTAGAAGTGTAATATCGTCGTCCGATACCAGTGAAAATCGCACGTGCAGTTTGTGCAGTGTTTGTTGAATGCTGGCACGACGTTCTGGTGAAGTCAAAACAAAGTGCACGCGGCTCCGCGCGGGCAC